TCATTCTGAACTCAACAACGCGTCACTTGTCACTTGTCAATATTTGACAAATAAAGTAATTTTTATTTTCAATTTTTATTTTTCGATCTAAAATGCCATGGATCCTGTAAATCGCTTCATTTTTGATCAAGTAACACAAGAAAACTAAGATTTTGAGGCAAACGACCTTAGACCCGCATTAAAGATTTTCTAAAAGTTAGAAACACTAATTTTTTCAGTTTACTTGATTACTTGATTTTTTTAAATAGAAAGGGGGCGGCTCGTCGGATTTTTCTAAGAAACCATTATTCACTATGCACTAAGCCCCATTATTCTAGTTATCCGTGACAAACAATTGAAGGTGTTGCTTTCGAAATACAAAATGTGCAATGAACCAGAAGGAAGAAAATACGAATAACCCTATCGTCAGTGAAGAATAAGAAACAGGCGTGTTATAACAGCCTATGTTGGAGTAAACTTTACAAATGAACTGAATACATATCCTATCGTTATTAGGTCCATTAGTGCCAATCCACTTTCTTGGGAAGGTGTCATTCATTATTTAGGAACTGTAAATATCTGTCCGCAGTAAGTTGTCCATCGAAAATTATTGGCCCCAAAAGTTTTTCTCCGATAATACCCATCCAGCAATTGACGGCAGTTTGTTTGTGTCCAGTACCTTTTATTATTCCGATTGAACATACCCAAGTTAGTAAAACACTTTCGCCTTAATAAATAATTTTAACCAGAAAACGTACATCTTCTCTGTATTTAGTCAAAAAGCAGTTGCAAGTTAATCTTCGGTTGTGGTCGTCAACGGAAATATGTTTGTGTGTGTACTTGAATGATCGATAATTATGTATATTTGTGAAGAATTTTCCAAACGGATGAATAACTTTATGTCACATTCTAAAACAATTCGCCAAACTGATGCTATACAATTTACTTTAACATAGACCAACACGTCTATTTATTTTTTTTCACTGACGATAAAATTATTGACATTTTCTTCTGGTTCATTTCACGTTTTCTGTTCCAGTTTTGGAAAATAATGCTGAGTGGGATGGCGACGATTGAGGAATCTCTGAGAATAAATTCGAGCTGCCTCAGTTGCATTTTTTCTTGTTTCCCCGGAAATCAACTGGATGTCATTTTCTCGTTTTTAGTATAGTTTTCCATTGTAAATTAGCTACGTAACAATGGTTGTTTATTATACAAGGGGAAAAAGTACTAAAATCTAGTATCTTCCCGTGTATAATACACATTTTTTTCTGTGACGGGAAAAACTACGATGTAATATTCAAAAATTATATTATTACAATATTTGAGTCAGAAAATTATCGATGTGAAATTTAAATTTTGAAATTAGTAGGATATGTTGTACTTATAGCGACAATTAGACCTGCGGAAAATTTTAAAGTAATCAAATAGCTGTCAATTTAATTTTGCGAATTGATTTAAAAATTGTGATTAGTGGTTGTTTAGAAGTTATTTTTAATACTATAAAGTAAAAAATGTCTGATTCCGAGTTTTAGTTGACTTCACCGGAATTAGTAGCCAAAGTTGCGTCACAAAAATTATTGCCAGTTAGATCGCGGATATCCAATATCCCAGAAAAAATTACTCATTTTTATCCCGGGGAAAAAAGAAATTTCATTAAAAATTGACATTTTGTTACCTGTCAACAGAGAAGATGTCAAATACATTTATTTCTGCTAAAAATCTAGGTCTTTTTCCTTTGTATAATAAATAGCTATTTAAAACTTATAATATTTTCAATAAACTACGTTAGGTGTTTGTTGAAGTAACCCTAGCAACACCTTCAATTGTTTGTAACGAATAACTAGAATACTCATACTTAGTGCACAGGTATACCGAATGCAGATACTTATTATTTGTTGCTAGATGTGATCGTTTCTTACAATTACTCGCATTCAGAAAAATAGTGAAAATAAAACAAGAGAGTGTAGTGTCAAATTATTCGTAAGAAAATTAGTGTTTGTAACGCTTAGAAAATCTTTAGAGCTACTGTAAGGTTCGCCCCTAAATCGTATTTTTCCCGAGTTACTTAATAAAAAATGAAGCGATGTACAGGATTCATGACATTCTTGACCGAAAATCAAAAATTGAAATAAAAATGACATAAAAATGTATAGGATGTCCCATTTAAAAATTGTAAATTGGAGTCGTTTTCGGTCAAAGCATAGAATATGTCAAAAAATAAATTCATCTATAATACGTAACCCAAAATTTTGTTTTTCTATCTCCAATAATAAAAAAGTTATAGGGGTGAGCCACCTTGGAGAATCACCCGATAGACGTAATGTCAAAAAATCGGTAAAATGTCAAGTTGTGTACTAGGTAACCGCTAGCGTGCCGTTGGTTCATTCCACGCCTGCTATTTTATTGGAAAGCCTACGTAATGTCTAAAAATCTTCATAACGTCATAAGAATCGATATGATGTCACTTTTTAAGATACGTAATACGGCGCCAGCTTTTTACGTAATGACCTTGCGGGTGATGGTCGGATCCGAGTTCGTCAAGCGTTTGGCTTCGGCAAAATCTTAAAATACCTCACTTGATTGAGAGTCCTTTTGAGGGTAGCCACTTTCCCAGTCCTAACAATAATTAGTGATTGGATGCAGGGGTGTGTAGGGACGATACACAATCATGGTCAGATTAGAGAAGTCATAACCATGTTCTTTCCAAGAACAATTGAGAAAAGTTTCAAACCTCGAAAAATCACTATTTTGGCACAGTCGTAAAAAGCATTGCGCAAAAAGCCACGATTGAGCCCCGGCATTTTGTTAGCTCTCTTGGAAACGGAGCTGACAAATTTTACTTCGTTCTATTAGCCCGGTAATAACAAGACGGTTACGCCTTGCCTGTACGAGCTCTCCCTAGTGGTAAAAACTCCAGTCATTCTGTTCATGGACATGCAGCGTTGTGTAGCAACTAATTAACGTTCAGTTAATGCTCTATTATAATAATGGGCCAAGAAGCAGCTTGCGTGATTTGACACAGCCAGTACTTACGGTTGCTTATCGAGTGGAAAGCACTCATGTTCTGATACACCACAATTCCATTAAATCTATAATTATGGAGTCAAGCAGGGTGTAAAGGGAACGATTATTATTGGTTCAACCATTGATGGTGTTCGCATGTGGGAGTTGTTGACTGTACAGGCAGCAACATGGGTTTGATTTATCCAAGGGAAGACAGCATCGTGTATAGGGAGTCCGTGGATACTTCTGGACATAGATATAACCTTTTTCTACGATTGACTCAGATGTTTTGAATTTAGTCCAGAAAGTATCGCTTATCGGATATCCTGATTTGTTCTTTGTATAATCTTGTGCAAACAAATGCGTCAAAAGCTGTTTCAACATCCTTTTAAACAAATTGTAAAAGCTGCTTCTTCCGCTATGTTAAAAGTTTTTTCAGGTTTTTCTTCCGGGGTATTCTGAACAAAAAAGGGGGAAATATACCGTCCTCCGCCCGGAGAAGCAGTATGAAAAAACCAAAAATGTAACGTTGTCAAGGTTTATAAAAATTCTTCAGACATTCTTTAATAAAATCTCACAGTACTTTGGGCGTATTGTGAACCTTTGCTTTTTAAGCAAAGCGCACTCACTGTATATTCCGGGTGAGTGCAAGAGAGATCATAGGGGCGGTCTCCAGCTACATATCCCTTGCTCTAATGCAAAATATACATTCAATGCGAGTGTAGCAACTAAAAAACAAAGCCTTACAATAACAATACCTCCTGAAATTCTTTGTGATTCTACTCACGAATGTTTGGAGAATATCTAGGAACTGTGGCTAATTATAATTAAAACTTTCATTTTTCCATATTGTTGCCGAGAATGGAATGTGTGCACTTTATCTGATACTGAATTGCTTATTTCTTGGAAACTATATATTCTAGAGAAGTTTTGATTAACACTCTGTTCGTTCACAGTCGAATCAAAATATTATTCCAAGCAGATACGGAAAAACTTCCTGGACTAATTGCACGTCTATCGTCTAGAGATCCAGGAATTTTAGATCATGTGTGCAATTGGGCAGTCATACTAAGTCAGTTTTTTTCATGAAAACTAGTGTGTGCGAATGTTACTACAAATATAAAATTTGCATGGCTCCAACTGAAGAATATTCACCTTAACATGTATTTTTAACAAAATAGAGCCACATGTCATACGGTGAAGGAGAATTTTAAATTGCCACGGGAACGTTTTTCTGGTAGCCGCATGAGTTTTGATGAAAACCTTCGCAGGCTTGTGAGATCATGCAATCCAGCCCCACTGGATTTTTTCTTGGGTTTTCTTCAACAAAAAACTCGATATTTGTAGAATATCACTTGTGAAACGGTTGTTAAGTTTGTTTAAAAACAATATCCCGAACCTATCGGGACTCAGTTCAATGCCCACTTGACGATTTGAGGGAGGCTACGACTACCTGTTGAAGGATGTGTCTCTGAACACCATCAAACATGGACAGAAGCGTCCTAGATTTATGAACAGTACTCCAAGCCATGTATTATATGGGCCATTCATTGTAACAGTCACGTCCACGGTATCCCATGTATGATGATCCATATGAATGACTTCGATTGAATTTTCGTACGCGATATCTCAAAAGCACTAAAATGCACCAAATCCTTGGATTTCCTCACAGTCTATGTATATAGGTTTTTCATTAGAAGGAAAGTCGCTACCGGTCTTCTCTCCGGATCGACTGCACAGATCAGTCTGATGTTCTAAAAAGTGCAGGAAAGGAGGTGTATAATGTATGAAGAAGCAATTTTGGATCCAAATCTGATTCCTGGGGAGCACGTACCTTGATATGATAAGATAAAGAGGGAAAACTATCAGTTAAGCTAGGTATTATAAGGACAAACACAAGTTAATACATCCTGAAGAAAATAGAGAATAGAATTCAATCTGTAATACCGTACCAAATATTCTCCGAGGAGGCTCTTTACCCACATACTAATCTGGTTTGACTCCTATTGTTCTAGGTGCAATTGCGGGTGACCCAGTGACCACAGCAACAACCCCATCGTCGTCTACGTCATCAGCAGCAACAGCGGTTGAGGTAGGGGCTGAGGGTACGTTAGCGGATGTAGCGGGTGGGTTCGCCGGCGAAGCCGTTTCTTACGTCGCTGTGGAGCATGAGGACCGGGCCGACACCCAACATTACTATTACTACGCCACAACCACATCGTCGACAGCAAATCTTCTTCAGCAACAGCAGCAGGTTAGATTCCTCTTCTCAACAACTTCATTAACTTCCCATGTGGGCAACTTTCGCGATATCTATTGGCATGCATAAAATTCATGGTCAACTTAGTTTTTTCAAATTGAAACCCCTATTTTTGATTCCGGCAGTCGAAAATTTTACGTTTAAATATGGATTGAAGACTATGGTAATTGCCACCGTTAAAGGTCAAATGGAGATCAAATATGTGCTGCTAGCAAAACCACTATGAATCTTACTGGTTTAGTGATAAGGACTATCAAGGTCAGTTCTTTAGTAGATTTTGACGACTGATCTTGGATTTGACCTTGAAGTTCACCTTCAAGGCTGTTTCGAGGAATTTTTTTTCAACTTGAAATCCGCAAGGACAGTTTCGGTTGAAACTCATTTGTCACTAGCACTGTAGTTTCCTCGTCAAAACTTACCTTAGTTCAACTAAATTTTTTTGAATGGAAATCCCTACTACTCTTGATGCTGGCAATCGGAAGAGCGAAAAATTTTACATTCGAGTATGTATTAAAATTCAAGATCAAGATGACTGCTGGAAGACAAATAGGTTAAATAAAGGTCAAATATGTGCTGCTAGGAAGACCTCTTGGAATCTCGCAGAGATCGTGACGAAAATAACTGGAAAGGTCAGGTGTTTAGTAAATTTTCACAGGTAGCGATGATTTTGAGTTTGACCTTCAAAGTCATTTCAATATCAACTCGATTTTTCCACATAAAAATGCATATTTGATGCCGACAATCCAGAGAGCCGGAAATTTTCAGTTGAAATGTCGAGGTGACCACTAGAGGACACATAATTGCCAAATGTGTGTTGTTAGGAAAACTTCTAGAAATCACGAATAGTGACAAAAGTAACCGGCAAGGTCAGGTGAGTTTCAACGAGAGAACTACGGTGCTCGTTACAACTGACTGTCAACCGATACTGTTCCTCTGAGCTCTATTTGAAACAAAATCCTTGAAATGACCTTGAAGGTGAAATTCAAGGTCAAATTCAAGATCACTATTCAAAATTCACTAGAGACCTGACCCTGATATCTATTTTCATCACTAATCCTGTGAGATCTATAGATGTTTTCCTAGAAGTACACATTTGATCTCTATTTGATCTTTAATGGTCATCCTCACTTTGGACTCTAATTGTATTTGCACGTAAAATTGTCTCTTCTTTCGATTGCCGGCATCAAAATATATTCTATTTGAAAAAATAAGGTTGACCGTAAAATAACCTTGAAGGTGAAGGTTAAATTCAATGTCACTGTTGAGTTTCTTTCTAAAAGTGACTGAAGACCTGACCTCACCTTGAAATTTTCCAAAAATAGCTTACCCTACCTTCATGTCATATTGCCGATTGAAAATTGAAAATTGTGGAGGCTGTATGACTACTTTTATGAATGTCTTTGTGATAATTAGATCTGGAGGGCGTGGCGTTGGCTAATCCACCTGAGATCCCATGACCCCCGCTGGATCCACCCGTTGCTCGAACATACATTTTTAAAATTGTCTCAGGTAAATAATAAACTATTTTGAGTACTGTACGCGGTACGGATATAGTCGCATCCGCTTATTCACATTGCAGACAGATAAAAATCCTACGAAAAGGACATGTAGGACGTATAAAATTTGTCTGGGCAGGACCTAAAGAAGAAGATGGCAATCCTATATATCCTGAGAAATGGAATCCAAAAATGTTAAGATGTTCACGATGTTGCATTAAATTTTTTGAGGAAAAGGTACTCTGACTTTTTGACAAATCTGTATTTACTATTTAAAAAATCTAAGAATGGGTTAAAAAAGAAGTATAATAAAAATCTTTGCCCAAAGTTCGCAACCTCAGCTGTGAAAACAACAGATATGCATTATTATAAAAAATACCCGATAGCTCAACAAATAACTTTCAAAACCCAAAAATATTTCAAAAGTTTTATTTTTGGACTCCTATTATTTTGTCTTGTAACTCAAATTCTGTTCTAGACAATGGAAGCTCGAATCTTTTGAAACATCCAGATTTCCAGCTACCATTCATGATTTATCAATATTTTTCTTTTAAAACGGCTTATCCCGATATGGAATATAAAATATTTATCAAGCTGCTGATGGAGACCCATGATGTCCCGGTGAGTTGGGCTCTTAGGCCCGCAGTAAAGGTTGACACTCAGTCACTGGATGGAGCGACCAACTTTTAACGTCCATACATGTCACTCAGGTATACGAATGACATTGGAGCTCTTGCTCTTGCAATCGATTACTTCAGTTCTCTCTACTGATAAGTTATACTTTCCGATATCATGATATATTGTTGGTAAGAGTGAGTCAAAAATAATAAATTACGTACTCCGAGAAAGATATTTATACGCATCTGGTAGAATCTGTGATTGAAAGGTTCGCATTGAAGAACGGAAGGTGTGGCACTAATCGTATTAAACCTTAATTATGTCGTAAAGGGGGGACTGTAACTGCACCGCTCGCTGGATCAGGCGATCCTGAATTACGGAGTTATTAATATTTTGTAGTAGGTACTCCCATTTTCATTGTCGAACAAGTCTAGCATTTATGTAAGCGGCTAGACGGAGACCGGCCACAAGTTCAAAATGCCAACCGTAGCAACAGCGCTGTCATAAACTCGTAGCCATTTAATCCCGTAGCAAGTATTGCGTTATAACAGTGACAGACTAATAGCCAGTTATTGATAATGGTTATTGATATATAGTATATCATTAGTCTGCGCTTAGGATTTACAATGAGAACGGGTGGATTTCAAAAGACAAGTTGTGTGAAAGACGTTAATGAAATTATTTATTTGAAAGGCTTACTGATGATAGCTTGAATGTAACATAACATGGGTCAACTGCTTGTCCTCTTATCCTACAGTGACACGGGTAAATAGGTGGAATTTCTAATGACTCTAGGCCACAAATTCCGGATGAACTGAAGCGATGGTCTAAGTTGTATTGACCTTGTAAACATCGGTGGATTGTGGCTCTCTAACAACGAAATACGACTTAAGACACAATTTCAGCATTCCAGGAGGACTGTTGTACGTGGTACATAGCTGGCACATGAATGTTGCGCATAAAATTATTGATGGTAGAGATACTTCGCAGAGGTAACATAAATTAACCACCAAGACCGCGCTTTTTGAACCAATAATGCTCTTTGTTGTGAGTTTTTTTGTCGCCGCTGACGTTAGCCAATTAAGCTGCATTTCCATCCTAATCCTTATTATCATCATCGAAGCAACATTTAATCAAATAAGTAAAAAGGCAGCGGATGTGGCCTGGACCTCAGTAATTATTGATGTTATCTACATTTCTAGTTGTGGGCAGAAACCTAATCATTGTTTTTCGTTTGAAGGTGGACCGTCAGCAAACGTACCCTTCTCAACAGTACCTGCTTGAGCAGCAGCAGCTCGAGCTGACGCCCTCCCAGCCGCTGGCGTCTACGAGAGGCCGCGCTCACGCGCACGCGCTCCACACCAGCTTCACCGACAGGGATGCGCCGGCGCAAGAGGCACCAGCAACAGCCCGCAGCAGACACCAACAGCAACGTTACCACGTTCCCCATCGGCACCCTCCACCACCTCCGTCTTCAGCCAATACGGCGCAGGCGCCTCACGAGGACGAGGCCACGCTCAGAGAGCTGCTCATTAGGTATTTGATGCAGGGTCTCTTTTTTTTTTCATTTGTATCGCAGCAGCTAGTGCAGCTACACCAAGGTTCGGTGACGGTAGGTTTCTGCTTTATGTGGCGTGACTGAGTCTGAAGCCTCCCCATTCGTAGTACTTCAATACAATCCAAATTCTTTACATATCTATGATATGTATTAACTAGGAAGCTACGCCAAGCTCTTGCCGTAGTAATGTTATATTATTACAATACATAATCCGTTCAAGTTAGCCCAAAAGATATTAACGCGCTTAATATGCCTTTTCACAGTTTTTGGCGGGTCATAGCAAAACTACAGGAACTACTTTCATAAATGCATCTCCCTCATACATATATACGCAATCGGCTTCGCTTGTGTAAACTCAAAGACATATATTTTCTGGTTTTGTCTCACCGTCATTAAAATCTTCTCGTTAACTTATGAGACTCCGTGTTTGTTTGTCACTGCGAGTATGACATTTTGCTTGCCACAGGTATGTGATTTCTGTTCACCCATGGTAATTTTCGATATAAATCATGGTAGTGCCTGGAGGTACCACTACAATTCATGTGTATGCAACAGAAAGTAGCACCTTGCGCACTTTACAATTTTCCTTGGGAAAGTTAAGCTGCGCACATAGTACCATCAGTCAATCTGTTTACGCATTTCGTATGAAACTGAGGCGTAACCACCAAAAACCGTGAAAATAACTTTACACTAATTCGCATGGAGCTAAAATTGAGAACTGGAATATTGGGAACGCCATTATAAATTAAATGTGAAAAGTCCCTATCGACATTAAATCTGCAAAAAAAGTATTTATTCAGTGTCAATGACTGCCAAAATGTGTTTGGCTTAAAAACTTAAAAAATCCGCAATTGCGCATTTTTTTATTTCTGAAACAACACGATACTGGATTCTAAGTCACGCTACCAGGTACAAATCTGCTGTCACCAAGTGATGATTCGATGTTTTCAAAAACGTGAGAAAGCACACAGCGAAATAATATATGAAAATATCTGTGACGGTTTGGACAGTGTAAGATATTTTTATTGAAACAGGATGGAGTCAACTCAAATATTAGGATCGTCATATAGTAAAGATTTTAAACTGATTAGTGATCGCTTTTGAAGGCTTCGAATCGCGTTATAGCGGCAACTTTCGCTTGCTGCAGTCCTGATATGGCCAATGGAGACACATTATATTTTAGTTCTTTATTCGGTAATTTATTCGCAGACTTGTTGCTTATAGAGGTGTTGGAAGCCATGCAGAATCGTCCATCACTTGACTTATAGGTAAATCATCAGATCGGTTGTCAATTTAGACAAAATGATAGATTACAAACACTTATTTTATGTGTCTTTATCTATACGGTGCGGAGAGTTGCTTAATGATTATCTTCATAATATTTACTTTTAGATTGTGTCTTCATTTCCAAAACATGATCCGAGATTATTTTGTTATCGTATTATCCTTTTATTTCATTTATAATCTAGAATTTTTATTATATTTATTACTTCACTTGTTGCCCAGAACTAGGTGCTATTCGTTGAATATTAATAATCGTAGTTACTCCCTCATTTACATTCAGTGCCATTCTTCTCCACATCAAATAGCAATCCGTATTAAATTACTATTTATTCTGAATTCTAGAAGTCAGTCAAATGGATTAAATGATAGAAAAGTTACGCATTTAGGTAGGTAATCAAGAAAATGACTCTCAGGGTTTCGTAGTTGCGAGTATTTTCGGCCTTAAACAAAAAAAAAACAAATTTTCTCAAAATCGTTTTTATTTAGCCCTGATCTGATTTGAGCTGAAATTTTAATTAAGACTGCATATTGACATTGCCATGGCTTCTCTACAGGGATGCGTAATTAGGATTTCTTTCTTCCTTAGTCAACTTCTTTTCTTAAGGTCGTCATATTGGACTTTTGTACAGGTTAATATTCAGTAATGTATCATATATCATACGAACATACATTAATATTGTAAAACTATAATTATGAAAAGAAGCAGTTTTTATGAACTGAGCTGAATGAGTAAAGAATCCCAACTCCCGACTTTAATGATGTGATATTGCGCATATAATGGAACGAATTGATATTTTAAAACTTCAAATGTTTGAAAACGTAATCTTTTTCTAGTTGCTTTTGAATCATAAAGATCAAAAATAACATATTATTTAGGAGTAGTAGTAAAGTAATGAAGACATTGAAAACATGATTTTAGAAACTAACAGAAACATTTTCGGCTATGTAAAGGATTCGACGATATTACAGTTACAGAACACATTTCATATCCATGATATTTAAACCGATGAACAAATTTTGAACTTAAATAATATTAATCCGTAGGGAAACTCCGTTGCTCTAAATCTAAAGTAACGCTTGCTTATTATATTCTATATATGGATGAATTATCTGAATCTCTATTAAACATGCTTTTTATAAACTGAAGCAGCCTTTAATTGAAGGTGCAATGGAAAAATCATGTGACAAGCTGTCGTTTTTAGGGCCAACTATGAAATATTGATTTCCCAAAGTAACCAAAGCCTAATGTATGACATAAATTTTCAAAATCATAATCAGAATCAAAAACTCTATTCGCCTGTACATACGTTCAATATGGCGTCCGTAAAAATATGAAGTTGATTGTTTAGAACAAGAGACAAAGCGCCACATTTAAATTCTATTTTTACCACCTTGTACCGGATGACAAGTGGCAATGTTAATATGCAATTGAGGCGTGTTTGACAAAAATCGCATAAGTCCAAATTTAACGAAATTGAGATAGTGACATCATCTAGTACAAAAAAAGGATGTTTTTTGATTTTGACAAAATTCAATTTTCTTGGACTATATTTGAATTGTCAACTTTTCGAAATGCTAGCTTCGCGCAACTTTATTTGTATTTATTAACGTTTCTGATATCTCAATGGCGTGAGTGTAGACTATTTGTTTAATAGTCAAGGCGGGGTTCGCAGGGTATTGAACTTAAGAGCAAAATTAGTTTCAAACCGGCAGTTCTTTGTTACTAGACGTTGTGTAATCTTCCGCGTAGAGCTCTAAAAGCTAATCATATAGATGTCTTTACATGCAATTATATGTCACACTTTTCGCGTCATATTTTCAACTGTAGGAAGACAGATGATATTCGTAAAACTGATGAGTTGTCCCCTAGGTGGTCAGCTGAGGACACTACGTGTAGGATTACACGATGATTTTATTCAGTATCAGACGACAGTCAATTCAGAATTTCCCAATCACAATACCCTTCAAACCTCACCTTAAAATAGAAAACTACACCCACAATATTTTACCATATACAGCTAGCAGCTTGACTTTACATCAAAATAATAATCTAAATAATTAGTTCAAACTGCGCGAAACACACAGAAGTTCTGCCATTGTAAAGAACAATAGTGAACTAAACCAAATTAAATAATTATCATGGTGGATGTGTGGTGTAAATACAGCCAGTTAAAACTACGTGAGAACAATTAGAGCTCAATTATTGATCAGAATGGAACTGCGTTCATCCCCACAAAATCAACAGCTTCAAAAGAGCCTACATGCATTGTAGAGCAAAACATTGTACGATATGTTGCAAATTTTATCACACATTTCACATTTCAACACTGCAGAGCCTCATACAGCATAGAAATTCAGAATTTCACGCAATGCGCTTTTTGCTCTGAACTATTTTTTCGGAAGGTTCAAACGTTAAAATCATGACATTAAAAAACACGTCATCACTATGTGATGTTTAGGCCCAATTTCACTAAGCCGGGGGCGCAAAAAAGCAAACAGAGTACAAATTTAACCAATGAGAAGACGTCTTTGAAGTCATCGATGTAATGAATATGGTCGATGTCTTGTAAAATGTGTCTCAAGCTAGAGAAATATTATACGATTCGTGTAAGATGGCCTCTAATTCCAATATTGAATCAAGAAGTACCTCTTAAATCACTTGGTTTAGCTGCAAAAACGTCCCGACACTAAATTAGCGACCATGAACATATCATACACCAATCAAAAATAAGCAACTGCGCCACACTCAAAACATGAACACACGTCTGATACAATATCTAGACTGTTACGATTAATTAAATTTACAATTATTGAAAATGGCATAGATAAAATTACAAAATGCTTATTATTTTACAAACATCGAGTAAACAATCAATTAACTTACTAAATGTTAACAGAACATGCACGCTACTGCAAAAAATTTGTTACAATATCCGAGAAAATTTTCTCTTTTCTAAACTGTGTAGATAACTACCAGACACCGAATTCCGCTAATCAAAGCAGTATAATATACCTCTATAGCCATCAAGTCTGACAGTTTATTTATATTATGTCTATTAAGTGACATTAACTGATAAATTCAGTTGACCAATTAAAAATGTGTTTGCAGAGATCTACATAATTGGAGTATTGTCTTTTAAGAGTGATGGGCGTCGCATAGCAGACATTACTGACAGGTTTATCTCAAAAAGAACTCTTTTACTATCCATATCAGTCATTTCAGAAGAGGAAGTATCTAAGTTGAAGACATCAATCACATTTTTTGAGCTACTTTATCTTAACGTAAAAAGGTATACAAGACAGAAATGCATGACTTTCTGTTGAGAAATTGTCACTGTTGTTAGAAAAGCTATCAAAAAATATTGAGTATCAGTTAGACGGTTATGCATTGTTCCTATAAACGAAAGACTGGAATCACTGAAAAAGCCATATAACCATGGACGTAGAAGTCCTACGTTCATGTTATTCGTATTTACTTTCAGCAAGAAATTGCACACCACTGGTGTTGCAAAATTAAGTGCCGTTTTCTAAAGCCATATTGATTTTCTTTTAATTTTTCGTTAGGTTCCTTCAAGAAGTACTGCCTGTTTTACTATTTCGTTTTTGTCTGTCTGAACGAAAACTTCCAAAAGGCAGATTTGGAGAAGAATCAATCTGGCTTCCCGAAGCTGATACTACTTTTTTTCCAGACCTA